TCAGCAGGCGTTCATGCCGCGCGCTAAGGGCGGTGGCCGAGGCTGGCGCGCCGGACGGCTGCCACCAACGTGATCTCCAACGCGCGGCCCCTCGCCTGCTGCTCCCAGACCGCAAGCGCCCGCGCGAACGGCGCGTCCATGGACCGAGCACCTGCGGGTCATGCCTGGCGCCCCTCCGGCGAGCGCGCAGCCCGAGGCCCAGCGAGCAGCTCTCGGCAGCCGCCCCGCCGCCGCCGCCGCCGCCGCCGCCTTGGCCCTGAGGCCGCGCAGCGGCCCATCTGCCGGGGCAGCAGCGGCCGCTCTCCGCAGCGCCGAGGACGCGGGCCCCGCGCCCCAGGATGCCAGAGTCGACCAGCACACCGCGCCGCAGGCGCTCGTGCCGACTCCCGCGCCGGCGCGCCCCGCGGCCGCAAGCCGCCTGCGTGACCGCCGATCGCCTGGCGCATGAAATGCGTTTTGGGCCCGGCGCCTTAATCATGGCGCCCACCCGCGACTTTCCAGGCAGTGCCCATCGACGCCTGGATTTCCAGCTTCACGGCTGCATCGGAGGCAAATGCACGCACCTTGCCAGGGACGAGCGGCTGGTCGAGCTCGCGGAAGTCCCCGAACAAGCTGTCGACGCTGGCGGCGCCAGACACATTCGGGAGGACGTCGTCCACGACGTCGCGGAGCGACGCGCTGGGGCCCACCGCGCTCGCCCTCATCAAGGGCTGAGGGGCAGGAGGAGGGCCGGCGACGCGGCCCCGCTACAACCTGCTACGATGGCCGCCCGCGCCTGAAAGCTGGTGGATATGCACCCCTCGAAGAGGACAGCCCACTATCATGTATAAATGTCGCGGAGCCCTCGTAGCACTTGAAAGGGAAGTAGCGCACCTTGGCAACGTCTTGCAAGTGGCTGGACCTCACGTTCTCGTAGGAGCGCGCCAGATCGACTCCAGCAGTCGTCGACGAAGAACCAACCTCTCGACGGGTGCCCCGCCATGAGGTCGCGGGCGTGTCCAGCCCAGTCACAGCTGGTCGGAGCCGATCCGCGCCAGGAAAAGCTGACCCGCTTCCAGGCCGCGCGCAGCGGCCGCCGCAGGCGCGACCGCAGACGCGGGAAGAGCGCCGGCAGCCCACTGAGCCGCACTCCTCCTCCTGCCATGGCTATGAAGATCATCTGCGTGAATGCCTCTGGCTGCTCCTCGCGGGCAACGATGACGTCGAGGAGCCTCTGGGGAATCTCGCAAGCTGGATCGGCGCTCGCGGACTCAGGCCATCTCAGCCCAGGCCTGCAGACTCCGCGCGCCTGCCGCAGACGTCCTTCCGCTGTTGCACCGTGAGGGGCGGGGGTTCCTCACCCCCGACCCCCCACACGAGGGGAGCGCGTCGCCTTCGCGCCTGCGCGTCCACAGGTGCTGCCAATCATCGAAGATGCGCTGCGCCGCCTGCTGCCCATTGCCTGGGCGGAAAGCCCCAGGCCCGTCCGACTCGAGCCGGCCGCCGATGTCCTCCAGCTTCGCCCGCGCAGATCTGCGGGCCAGCCGCCCACCCTTCTGCGCCGCCTGCAACGCCCGGACTCGCCGCTCGTCTGCCTTGGCCGCCGCGTCGCAGGCCCGTCTCTGGCATGTGCGCGAGGGGCGCCTTGGGGGCCTCCTCAGCAGGGAGAAGCAATCATCCCAGGATGGCAACCGACAGCCTCGGAAATTGGTTGCGAACAAAGGGTTGCGGCCTCTTGTCCGCATGTTAATTGCGGCGCGGCCAGACAGGCATCGAAACCCGCATCTTCCCGGCCGCCCGGGGACCTCGCCATCTCGACCAGGTCGAGCAGCTCCTGCTTCGCTATGAGCGTTAGCTCGGAAGAGTCGAGGGCCTTGACCATGCCCGGCAGCTGCCACTTCCACTGCGCCAGCTTCTCCTTTCCGCGCGCCCCCGGGCGGCCAGGCGCCGCCGCCGCTGCCTTTTCAAACGGGCTGTGCACGCGGTGCCAGGGCGTCGTGATCGCCGAATACCTGCTGCGGATCTCACGGGCCCGAGGAAGACCTCCTGGGTCTGCGGCCCTCGGCCCCTGCCAGTGTACTAGCGGGCCTCGTCCAGGTCGATGCCCTGGTCCCGAATGCACTTCGGCTCAGCGAGATTGAACCGCCCCTGCGCCATCTGCCCCATCGGACACGCCTCGCGCGCCCAGGTGGGCCAACTCCAGTCGAAGGCCGACCCGCCCAGCTCGGGGCCGATCACCGGGCGGGCGCCGAAGAGCTCGAAGCGAACTGACACCTGGACCGCCTTCTGGCTCTGCAAGCCAGCTAGCTGCAGGAAGCAACCACACAAAAACGGGCGCGCGTGGATGCAGCGGCGCGTCGGGGTGGGCGCGGACCCCGACATCGCAGCTCGCCATCACCTTGGAAACCACGCAGCAATCGATGGTGCGAGCTGCCCCAATGCCTCCTGTAGCATCATAGCCACAGCGCCGACGTCGATTACCAACGCTGCCACTCCAGCAAGTGGCGCCATCTGGCACCACCATGGCCCCGCGCACCAAGGTCAGGAAGCCAGACTCTTCCAGCTCTTCGGGCGTCATGTCCCAGTCAGCCTGGACAACCCACATAACGTCGAGGCTCAGCGCGAGCTTCGCCCGGAAGCCGAGCAGGTCGGCGTTGCCTTTGGTCCCGACGCTGGTCTCGCAGTAGACTGGCAGCAGGGCGGTCCCACCAGGCAGCGCCGCCCCAATGCGCCCGCCGCACTTTCTGTGAGTGGGCTCAGAGCTCTCGACCTGCGCTGCAGCCGAGGCCAGCGCGCGGTGCACCATCACCGCGACGCCGCCGGGGCTACACAGGGCTCCGTCACCGATAGGGCGCGCCCTGCCACGCGCGGTGCGCATGTTCTCTGGCTTGGCCAAACTGTGAGCAGAGATCAACTTGGCCTCACTCTTGATTCGTGTCTCCTGCAAACAGACGGCTAGGGGCCGCAGAACATCCGCGCGAAGCCCTGCAACCTCCAGCCTGCCTGCCGTGCTCTCGGTGTCTGCCCACTGCGGCAGCTTGGGCGCGCTGCTCTAGGCGCTGCCGGCGCTCCTGCTGCCGCCGCCCCTTCACCGACTCTGCGTTTCTCGTGCAGCCGGGTGAGGCTGGCAAGAATCTGCAAGACCTTCGCAAACAGCTCGGACTGGTGCTCCTCAGCCTGGCGGTACAGCCTCTCCGCTTCTAACTTGTGCTGGGCCAGGGCTGCCTCGTGGGCCGCCTTCGCGGCGCGCCCTGCCGCCTGGGTGTCGGCTGACACCTGGCGGAAGCGGACGATTTCGTCCTTGACCGCCCTTCCTTGTACTCGTCGGGGTTGCCCTGGAAGTCCTCTGCGCACTCGAAATCCAGGACCGAGACGGTTGGCTCCTCTGCCTGCGGCTCCGCCGGCGACCCCCTGGTAGTGCCGTTTGAAGGCCGCTTCCATCTCGAGCCTGGCTTCGAGGGCCCCGGCCAGCGCCTTCTCGCTTTGGCCTGCTGGCCTGCTCCGCCGCAACGGGCGAGCCCACGGGCCCACCAGGCGTCCCTGCCGCGCTGGATGCGGCGTCCTTCTCGGCTTTGACCACGGCCGCCTCGCGCTTGCACAGCTCCGCCCGTTAGCCTTGAGCTCCCGCACGCGCTGCGCGAGCCCCCCGAAGGCTGCAAAGCGCGCGGAATGCCCCGTAGGCTGCACCTTGTTGAGGAACCAGCTCTCCTTGCTGAGGCCGCAGGACTTGCATTTGGTGCGGAAAAAATTGTTCACGCAGAGCTTGACGCCCCGCCCCGTGCAGGAGCGGCACGTCCACGCCGTGGCGGTATCCTGGCGCTGGCCGCCCGGCGCCATCCGGCCCGCGGATGAGCTGTGCTGGGCGTCCAGCTGCGCTGCCGAATGCTGCAAGCGCGTGGAGGGCCGGCGACGAGCGCCGAACGCGGGCCACCGCACGGCGGTTGCGCGCCCGATGGTGGTGGGCAGCCTCGCGGGCCGCCGTGGCGAATCGCGGGTACGCGTGGTCTCAGCGCGGGGCGGGTCGCTCGTCAGCCTGGCTGGCACCCCAAGAAACCCCTCGAACCAAAACTTGAACCAAAGTGGCTACGGAAAAGAGGGGCGGAGCAGAAGGAGGAGAAGGAGAAGGAGAAGGAGAAGGAGGAGGAGGAGGAGGAGGAGGAGGAGGAGGAGGAGGAGAGAGAGGAGGAGAGGAGGAGGAAAGAGAAGGAGGAGAAGGGGGAGAGGGGAGGAGTAGGAGGAGGAAGAGGATGAGAGGAAGAGAAGGAGGAGGAGGACGAGGAGGAGGAGCAGGAGGAGGAGGACGAGGAGGAGGAGGAGGAGTGACCACATGGGACGACGCGCTGAGAGGCAGGATGAAGTGTGGCAGCGGCAGCAGTGGCAACGAACAGCGAGCGCTATCGAACACATAACAAAAGCCGCGAGGTGGAGGAGGATGAGGATGAGGATGAGGATGATAACGGAGATGAGGATGAGCAGAAGAAATAATGGGAGGAGCAGGAGGAGGAGGAGGAGGAGGAGGAGGAGGAGGAGGAGTAAAAGTAGGAGTAGGAGTAGGAGTAGGAGTGGGAGTAGGAGTAGCAGTATGAGCAGGAGTAAGAGTGGGATTAGGCGTAGGCGTAGGAATAGGATGAGTAGGAGGACGAGGAGGAGGAGGAGAAAGAGGAGGAGGCGGAGGAGGAGGAGGAGGGGCCGGGGGAGGAGGAGGAGGAGAAGGAGGAGGAGGAGAGGAGGAGGAGGAGGAGGAGGAGGAAGAGGAGGAGGAGGAGGAAGGAGGAGAGGAGGGAGGAGGAGGAGGAGGAGAAGGAGCAGGAAGAGGAGGAGGAGGAGGAGGAAGAGGAGGAGGGGGAAAGAGGAGAAGGAGGAAAAGGAGAAGGAGGATGAGCGAAGGCTGAAAAAAAGATGAGCGGTGGAGGGGGAGGCCCTGGAACAGGAGGACGGAGAGGGGGAGGGAAAGAGGATGGAGGAGGAGGAGCAGGAGGAGGGAGGAGGAGCAGGGACGAGCAGGGAGGGGAGGCCCCCGCCTGCGCAGCAGGTCCGTGTGCTCCCTGCCGCGCTCGCGGGCCCGCTCGGACTCCGCGCCCGCGGCCTTCCGAAGGCAAGGGGCAGGAAGAGGAGGAGGCGGAAGAGAAGGAGGAGGATGAGGAGAAGGAGGAGGAGGAGGAGGAGGAAGAGGAGGAGGAGGAGGAGAAGGAGGAGGAGAAGGAGGATGAGGAGGAGGAGCAGGAGGGAGAGAAGGAAAGGAAGCGGCACGAGGAAGGAAGGCGGGGAGGGAAGCGGGAGGAGGAGGAGGAGGATGGAGGCGGGAGGAAATTCGTGGTTCCCCGTCGTCCTCATCATCCCTCTCATGCTCCCCCACATCCTCCTCCTGATTCTCCTCCTTCTCCTCCTCCTCCTCCTCCTCCCTCCTCATACTCATCCTCCCTCTTCCTCCTCGCTCCTCACCCTCAACGTTTCCTTACTCCCTCCCCCCCTCCCCCTCCTCCTCCCCTTCCTCCTCCTCCTTCTCCTGCTCCTCCTCCCTCCTCCTCCTCCTCCTCCTCCTCCTCCTCCTCCTCGTCCTCCTCCTCATCCCCATCCTTCATGTCTCCTGGCTCGTCCTTGCGCCTTCCAAGGTGGTATGATCGAGCTCGAGGATCGAGGATCGAAATTCGGAGCTCTATGAAGAATGAAAGGATGCAGGGGGTCATAAGTCAAAGGGCTCCCAAGCAGCCGTGCTGTCACTGGGAGCTTGGCCAATTTAAGCCTCGTCCTCCTCCTCATCCCCATCCTCCTTGCTCCTGTTTGCCTTCCAAGGTGGTATGATCGAGCTCGAGGATCGAGGATCGAAATTCGGAGCTCTATGAAGAATGAAAGGATGCAGGGGGTCATAAGTCAAAGGGCTCCCAAGCAGCCGTGCTGTCACTGGGAGCTTGGCCAATTTAAGCCCAGTGCACCCACGCATTCATCCCTTCCCTTTGCGCCGATGTTTTCTCTACCCGCGCGCGCGTGCCATAGCAGACCTGGAACTCCGACAAAACAACCCGACCGTGCTGGGCGCAAACGGAGAAGGGCAGCTGCACTCGTAGAGGGAAGGCTTTTGACTTACGTCAACCCCGCGCTTCACGTCTGGTCAAGCCAAGCCAGCGCCGCCACCACGAAGCCCGCGAGGAAGAACACGGAGATCCCGAGGACAAACACAACACCCAACCCTCGCGAGCGCCGCAGTCGGAGGGAAGAACGACGGGGCCCACCTCGAGAACCGCGCAAAAGCACCACCGGCGAGCCACGGCGCGCATGACGTGGCGAGCCCGAACAGCCAGCACAGATACGCAGGAAGGGATATGGTGAGGCGCACGACCACAAAAACAGCGGACACACCGCAGCCGATCGCCACGGAGTACGGCCCGTGCCTGCACCGACGCCGCACCACATAACAATCGTGGGCGGGGCGTCATCCCCAACAGAGGGCACGAACACGGGCCCAACAACTGCGCGATACCTTGCGGAGGTGAGGCGCGCAGAGGTATGCAACCACTACGAAGAGAGGTGCGACGACACAACAGGCATCTCGCAAACTGTAGAGATGAAACAAAAGCGTTCAAAAGGCCAGAGGAAGGCTGCGGAGGGGAGAGGACGCGGGCGACCATGATGAGGAAGGATTTTGGGTCCAGAAACGTGGCCCGCGCTGGAGCGAGAGCGCCATTCCGAACGACGGGAGCGAAGTCCCGATCCCAACATGAAGCCCACGCTGCAGCGGGAACACCATTTCGAAAGGGCAGAGGGACTTGGGATAGAGAGAAGATGTACGACAATTCGACTCGGCACAACCTGGCTCGTAAAGAAGCGGTGCTCCGAGGGGGCCGCGAAACTCCTCGGCCGTCTTTGGAGGTGAAAAGAATGCGTGCGCTTGCGCCAGATCTGACGTCCTACTACTCTCCCTCCCATCCCCTCCCATTGCGGGGATTGCTTCTCTGTCAGCGGATGCGCGTCATTGAGTCATTGTTGAGGAGAGGGAGAGACAGGGGGACTACCTCTGACCCCAAGGCAAAAGGGAACGGCCCCGGGATGGGCTGATACTGGCGACAGAGCCGTCAAGAGACTCCCTCCCCTCCTCCCCCCCCAAGGTCTTGGAGGGCCCCTGGTGGTGCCTGGAAGTTCTCAGGATGAGGCCTCTGCAGGAGGCCTTCAGCAGGGCCAAGCGGGGGTCCGAAACACCGCCACCGTCCTCCTTTTCCTGCTCCGTCTCCTCCTCTGCCTCGTCCACGCCCTCGTCGTCCTCGTTGGCGATGTCCTCGTCGTAATTACTCATCGTCAACATCCTCGTCGCCATCAACAACAACGTCCTTGCCACCGTCAGCGTCAACATTGTACGCCGTCCTCGTCAACGTCGACGATGGGATCCGACGTTGCAAACATACATGCAACATCGACCGAAGCCATTGACCCCGTTTGCCTGCGGGATTCGCCGAGGCGGATCGATCTGTGATGATGATCCCGGGGCCCGAAGCGGAACGAAAACGCCCCAGGGAAAAAACATGAAACGCCCAGTCCTCAGGGATCGTCCAGGTCGCCGCTGCTGCCGTCGCCGCTGCCGCTGCCGCCGCCGGCATCGCAGCCGCCGCCGCCGTCGTCGCCGCCAGCGTCGTGTTGTTTCGTCGTCGTTCTCGTCGTCGTCGTCGTCGTCGTCGTCGTCGTCGTCGTCGTCTTCGTCGTCCTCGCCGCCGTCGGCGTCGTGGTCGCCGCCGTGCTCGGCGCCGCCGCGGCCACAGCTGCCGGCGCGGCGAGTCTCGTTCCCAGGGCCGCCGGCCTGCGACGTGGCCTCCGCCACTGAGAGCCGGGAGCGCAGCGAGGCCGCGGACGCCTCGGCGCGCGCGAGGTCCTCGCCGCGCTTGGGTCCCCCTCCTGCTCCTCCTCCTTCTCCTCCTCCTCCTCCTCCTCCTCCTCCTCCTCCTCCCCGTCGTCATCCTCCTCCTCCTCCTCCTCATCCTCCTCCTCCTCCTCGCGCGCGCCCGCGCGCCCGCGCCCGCGCGCGCGCCGCATGGCTGCCGCGCCGTGCAAGGCTTCGTCGCCGTCGTCGACATCGTCGTCGCCGTCGTCGTCGATCACCGCTGTCGTCGTCGATCGCCGATCGTCACCGTCGTCGGCGGCGGAGCCGCCGTCGTCGTCGTTGTCGTCGGTCGCCGTCGCTGTCGTCGCTCGCGCTCGCCGTCGCCGTCATCGTCGTCGTCATCGTCACTCGTCGTCGTCGTCGTCGTCGTCGCTTGACGTCGTCGTCGTCGTCGTCGCCGCCGCCGCCGCCGCCGACGTCGCCCGTGCTGACCGCCGTCCTCGTCGTCGCCCGCGCTCGCGCCACGCGCGCGGAGGTGGGGGGGATGACGAACGAAGAGGGGGGGGCGAGGATCGAGGATCTTCCCCCGCACCATGAATTGGGCTCTTGTCTTCCCAAGACAACCTCTCCTCCTCTTCTCATATCGTCTTCAATTCCTCAAAACCGTGCATCTCCATCCAAAGACACTAGTCCAAACAGCATTGCACCACAAGCCCCAGCAACAACAGCTATCCGCAGTCCGTGCCAGGTACTTGGGAGCGTGCTCTTCCCGCTCCACCAGACTTCCTCTTATGCCGCTTGCCCTCGAAGGGAGGCCGCAGCAGACATCGGGGAGACCCAGATAGCCAACGTAATAAAAGAAACAAGACGTAAGTGTTGTGCTGTTTGCGACCTGTAGAGGCCTTCGCCGAGTCCGACCGTCGAACAACGACTCGGGCAGAAAAGCCCGTCCGCAGGATCGGGTTGAGACTTCCAGGGGCCCCGTATGGGAACATCAAAGCATCGGACCCCTGGGCACTCTGGATGGCATAACAATCGCCCCCCCCCCCCCTCCCCCTTGGGTTCGAGGGGGGGATAGGCGTGTGCCGTCGGGGCGGGATTGGGGGGGGGGGATGGCAGTTCTGAAGCTCGAGTCCCTGGGCCATGTGGGGTGGGGGGGGGAGAATCCTGGACTCGCGTTGAGGGGCGGTGCGGGGGGGGGGGAATGGGGACGCTCCATCGGAAGGTTCGTCGCCCCCCCCCGCTATTGTGCCATACGGAGTACGTACCATTGATCACACTTCCAGGGGCCCCGTAGAGGATCGTTGGAAGGGTTGGGCTGAGACTGGGTTGAGACTTCCAGGGACCCCGCAGACGAGCAATCAAGAGATCGGATCTCTGGGTGCGTGCCATTCATCATTATGTCGGGCGTGTCCCCCTACAGGGGCATTTTCGACGAAAAATCAAAAATACCCCAAACGTACCCCCAAACAGATCAAAAAATACTCCAAACATAGTCCCCAGACTATTTTTGGACTATTTTTTATTTTTTGCGTATTTTTTATTTTTCGTCGAAAATCTCCCTGTAAGGGGGACACGCCCGACATAAATTGATCAGAGACCGTGCCCTCGCCACTCCACTGGTCCCGCCCGTGCAGTTTGCCCCATCCGAGGAGGCCGCGCGCCAGACCGCGGCGGGCACCAGAGCACCCTGCTGCTGTGAGGGGTTTGTGCCCTCCCCACTCCGCGCGCTCGTTGGCATCCCGGAGGCCCTGATCTGGCGCCGAGCCCGGGGGGGGGGGAAGTGAGAGGGGGCGTGCCTTCTCAGAAGGCTCGGGCCTTCTCAGAACCTCCTTGGGAATCTCCTCAGGCTTCGCCGGAAACACAGCAAGTTCCTCAGTGGCCGGAGGGTTTCTGAGAAGCCCCGCCGCCTTCTGAGAAGGCCGTCTCCTTTTCACTGCCTCCTCTCGCTCGCCGCCGAATGACATCCCCCCCCTTGTCATCGCCCGCCTCGTGGCACCCCCCGACAGTCCCTACAGCATCGCGTGCCCCGCCCAGGAAGGCCGCGCCACACCGCGGCACGCAACGGAGTTACCCGGCCACCTTCCAGGGGCCGTGCCCATTCCACTCCAGCGGTGCCGCCAGCGCCGCTTGCCCCAGGGAGGAGGGCACTGAGAAGCCGGAAAAAGCCAAGTGTGAGCTTCGTCGCCTGCACCCCGCTCTCGGTTGTGAGCTGTCTCCGCACCTCCAGAAACAGGCCAAGAGGAGGGATGGAGGACGAGGAGGAGGGGGGAGGAGGAGCAGGATGAGCAGGAGGACGAGGAAGATGAGGATGAGCAGGAGGACTAGGAGGGAGGGAAGGGAGAGGAAGAAAAAGGATGGAAAGAGAAAAGAAGGAGGAGGAAGAGGAGGAGGAGGAGGAGGAGGAGGAGGAGGAGGAGGAGGTGGATGGAGGAGCAGGAGGAGTAGCGAGCACATGGAGAGACGCGCCGAGGTCGGATTCGGAAAGTAAAAGAGCGGTGGGACAGACGAGAGGCGACATCAATCACAAAACAGACGATGGAGCAGCACGCAAGAGCCCAGCCGAAGCATCACGGCAGCGAGGAAACTCCATCACACTGGACAGGAAACCCATGACCAGGCGAGAAATGAAGGCCAGGAGGGACGATCGAACACCATCCCCCCGAGGCGGATGAAACCGATCGAATTGAACAAAACGATTAGGTTAAATTCTGATGCAATCCCAGCCACTGTACCGCAGGATCTGAGACCAAGAGCCTACGGGGCAAGGGGATGGGGTGCTTTCTGCCGTCGCTGGGATGACGCCCCGAAGCGAAGTTATCTCGGCGCCACCTCCGCTGGGGGTTGGACACGAGACCCTGCGGGTCGCAGGTGCCATGCAGGTCGGAGCGGGCGGCCTTCGCAGAGAACGAGCCACACCTCGTGCACCCTACGATCTCCCCCGCCCTGTGCAGGATGTGCCCTCTGGCCGCCTCGGGCGGCGCAAATGCATCCCCATTCGACAGGGGGCGCAGTGCTGGGAGGAGCCGCCGTGGCCCTACTGGGGGCCGCCAGACGGGGGCGCTTCTTCGAGCCGTCGAGGGTGGGCGCCGCCTCACGGACCACCCCCTGGGGGCGCGACTCGAACCGAACCCTGGGCTTGACCTGCCTCACAAAAGGCTCCGCCAGCTCCCCTATAGGCCTGGCCTGGCTCTTGGGCGCCTGGGCCGCCCCGCAGGGGGGGGGGGGGGGGGGGGGGGGGAGGGGGAGGGGGGGTCCACAAGGCCCAGAAGAGGAGGGGGGGGAAGAGGAAGCGGGGGCTCCTCAGGGTTCTTTGAAGCCGATTTGGCCTCCAGCCTAAGGCGCGCCACCTTGACCGTCGAGGCCTCCGAGGGGTCCCTGGGGCGCCTGCACCCATGAGGCTCAGGCTCTCTGGGGGCTGACGGGGGCTGAGGGTCGACGCTCCTAGGCTGAGGGAGATCCACAAAGCAAGCGTGCGCCACCATGCGCTTCTTGCCAGCGGCGGATCGCGCGAAGCGCGGGCAATGGGCACATTTCCAGCCACGCAGCGCGCGCTCAGGTGCGTGGCGCCGCTGATGGCTCAAGAGCGGCGCGGGAGGGCGCCGCTCGCACCGTGCTCGACCCCGTCGGAGTCGCTGTTGCCGTCGAGCCCGCCCGGAGACCGTCGGCATCCTGTCGGGCCTCGCCTCCACCAGCTCCTGCTCGTTGCCAATCCACGCCGCAATCTGGCGAACTCGGCCCAGGAGCTCTCGATGCCGAGCACGCGCCGCTGGTGGGATGTCGTGCTTGGCCGGCTCCTTCTTCGCTGCCGCATCGGCGTAGTCATTGCCCTTCTTGCCATGGTGGTGCCTACTGTCCTCCTGCGTCTGGTGGCTCTTGGCGCACTCGATGGTGAGGACGTCGCTGAGGCCTCCCTGGCCCTCGAACGCGTGCCAGAGGGGCCTCCACAGATCGACGTGTGCTCGTCGAGGGCGCAGGCGCCACTGCTTGCCATTGTTGATCCCATCGATCGTCGTCATACAGTCGGTGTGTCCGTGGAGTGGGAGAATGCCGTTCCTGAGCGTCATGATGATGGCGTAGAGCCCTGCTCTGGGCACCGACTGCTGAGCTCCAGGTAGCGGGCCGAACGCCAGGCCTTTCACGCGCTGGCCGTCCATGAGGGCCAATCCCCATCCTGCGCGAGCTCCTTCAGCCCACCCTATGTGTGTGCGTCCTGCGCCGTCGGCGTACACCTCGCCCGTGATCTGATGAAGCTGGCCTCCGTAGGCGTAGTACCAGATCTCCTCGGCAACAGGTGGAGGCACGAGTGGGAGCTGGTCTCGATCCAGCAGGCCTCGCGTGAACAGCATGTCATTCACAGGAGCGCGGCGTGCCTCATCAATGATCTCTTGATCCACTGCGAGCGCCCGTTCCTCAGCCAGAGTGGGACAACGCCAAAGTCTATGATGAAGCGTGCCCTTGCAGTCTTGGCAGTACATGCACTCGTCGGACTCCGAGTAGCCGTACATGCGCAGTCTCGCCTGTGACCGTTGACCTCCAATGATGGTGCTGCGAAGCGCTGCCCTCGCTCTCACTGGTAGTCTCCACTTGCGCACTTGATCACGGGTGGTGGGCAAAAGCTGGAGAGGGGCAAGCCAGTGCCCACATTATTTTCGTGCAGGCGCCTCCGTATCGGGTGCATGGTCCGAACGTGTTGTCCACTCCTCCCACTTGTAGTTGACGAGTGACCTCCTCGCCAGCGTACGAACCCAGTCAGGAGGGTCAACTCTGAGACCGGGCTGAACTCCTTGAGCGGTGGTCCACTGGAAAGCCGACTGAGCTCGCCAACCTAGTTGGTGGAGTACGTTCCACACCCAGGTCCCGCGACATCTTGCCACGCAGGGACTGGACCAAGTCGGTGTCGCTGACTGTGAAAAGCTTGGTGCATAACCTCCCAAGGTAGTGCCCTGTCTGATGCCATCTGCGCCCATGTGTAGACTGGTTCGGCCACCGCGAAGATTTCAGGATGTTGGTCTCGCCGCTGCTCCAACTGAGATGCTAACCAGGATGAT